GCGAAAAAATATGGTTTGCCGAGTGTCAAAAAATGACACTTGGCAAATGACCACTTTGCCGAGTGTCAGGAGAAGACACTCGTCAAAGAGTTAACGGTGGCTGACAGCCATTAACGTCAGCGGCCCTTTGCCGAGTGTTCTGGTTTGCCGAGTGCCCGACACTCGGCAAATAGCCCCTTTACCGAGTGTTATTGTTTGCCAAGTGCTCGACACTTGGCAAATAGCCCATTTGCCGAGTGTTATTGTTTGCGAGTGCTCGGCACTCGACAAACCACCTCTTTGCCAAGTGCCAGTTGTTTGCCGAATGTTTTCTCTCTGGCACTCGGCAAATAGCCCCTTTGCCGAGTGCCCGATAAAAAGAACTCGGCAAAGTTTGGGACACTCGGCAAAGAAGCTGTCTCCGGTAGTGATAGTTGGCTATAGCCTGCTTTGGGACGTAGAAAGCTAAATGTCTTAGCCGGCTATTTAAAACATTGCTTAGAACTTAGCTCCTTAGACAGCATACGTTCAGGGAACTGCAGGTTATTAGTAGGATCTAGAGGGGACGGAGTCACTTGGGAGTGAGTTGGAAGATCCTTCTTACGTTGTAACACATGAAACACTGGATGGACAGCTGATCGAATACAGAGGTATGTCCAACTTATAAGCCACCACACCAATTTTGCTCAAATTTTGTCGGGGCCAGAGAGTCTGAATGATAGCATATGATGAGCACGGAGAGCGAGCGAAGAATGGGCATATAGATGTAACTTTTCCCTTCTAACCTAACAAATACTGTACGTAGTTGCTATATACCGTATGCTTCAAGCACCATTAGTTACAGTTCAATGGTGGGCCCCACCATTGCCGCCGGAGCCTTCTATCGGAGTTCCAGGCGGTTTGGGCTGCCGCACAGCCAGGCTCACCGCCGCCAGAGCAGCAGCTACTTTCCCACCGCTGCCTTGTGTAGGGAGACCAGACGGAGCGGGTACTCCCATAACCACGCCCGTCGTCACCGTCGTCGCCGCCGCCACCGCAGCCGGTGCAGCATGAGTTTTGCCGCCGCTGCCCTGTACAGGGAGACCAGGCGGGGCGGGTTCTCGCATCACCACGCGTGGTGCCGTCGTTGCCATCACCGGAGGAGCGGCATGGACATGTCCGCCGCTGCCCGGCCTCGGCGCCCCGGGGCGCCCTTTCGGGGAAGGAGCGGCTCCGCTCGCCGCCCGCAGGCGCTCGGACGACACGTAGCGCAGCAGCTGCCGCGGCAGCGGGCTCGTTGGCGCAGACGGCGACAACGCCATGGCCGAGCGACTTGCTTGGTGGTGCTGGTGATCGGCTTCGAATCAAGCGAGCTAGACGGCTCAAGGTGTCAGTGGTGGTCAGTCTTTCCCTTGCGCCGGCGATGGATGAGGCGCAGGATGTCTGCCGCTGGTGATTGAACTGGAAGCACCGCTCTCGACTTTATAGTAACCGATCGATGAGACTGAAGCAACAGCACGAGCCACGACCCACGAGGTGGTGTCTGACTTTGACTAGTCTTGTTGTTCAGACACTGACACAGCAAGGAGTCAAGTCAACATTGTGCGCGTTTTCTACGAGTTCGAAGCTACAGTGTTTTATAGCTAGCCTTGTACTGACATGTTTTGACCCGGTCAAGCGTGTGGCAAGGATCTGGACAGTAGTACATAGTACCCACGCCGCTGGTGGCTGAAAATTCCATAGAGCTCAATTCAAACCACACTAAAAAACAATAAAGTAGTCTAGCAGGGTGTGAACTTATGTTTTTCTCACGTGCTTTAATTTAGATCTACGAAGAATTTTATAACTTAGAGCCAAATCTATCAGCCTAACCTAAAGATAGATATCACATAATCAAGTACATGGGAAAACATAAATGCAGAGAATTAATAAGGAGCTCAAGCTTAAAAGGGCAAACTCCTGAGATATGTCGATATATCCTATGATATTGGTTGCTAAAATACAACCTCTTGTTTATGTTCGACCTCCACAAAAGATGTATTTCTGCTGATCACTAAGCCTTCATGTGATCACGGTGTTGGACCGACAAGGCGACAAGCCAAAAATACCTCTACCGACCAAGATGACCAGAAAGAGCCTTATTAGTGGCCTTGTACAAGTGTCATAAGCCACTAAGCCCAACCACTTGCCCAAAACACTCCTGTCAACTTGGCGTCATTCACTTTGGAGTTTCTTTATCAAAAGTAACCGTCTTCTCGTCCTCTCTACACACCGAGTGGCTGCCACTCCACACAAAGCGGGGAGGATCCACGTCATTCTAGTTTTAAAGATGAGCGGTCAACGGAGATGCACACAAGTTTTTGAAATGAATCAGACAGGAGAGCTACCGATTATATTAAAAAGAATAAGCTCAGCCTGAGCAGTGCAAGGAAACAACAACCTAAAAACAATGAAGCTAAGAAACCGCCACAACAACTAAAAGAAACCGAACAACGATGGCCAGTGAGATGCACACAAGTTCAGCTAGCGAAAGGCTGAAGCATACAGGATGTTTGAGTTTCTAGACATACATCAATATTGTTGAAGGCGTAACATACATATGGGTACTAGTAGTTAGAAGTGCTAGACCAACGCAAGCGTTTACTGAACCATTTTACACGATTCTATCCGAATGAAATTGGGGACGACGTTTTTGTTTCCGAACTTCAGGTCGTCCATACACGAGTATAACTTGTAGCTTGGCCCTTGAAATTTTATTCCAACCCTAGTGGTAGCTGTAAGTAGTAGGTAGTCATATAATCAGTCCCATCAGTTTGGTTGGATGTCTTGTCGTTAATGGATGCTTCCGTCATTTTGGCCGTGTTTTTTGGGCCGGCCCGGCACGACAAACAGCCCGTAGGGCCATGCCTGGGCCATCGGCCGAGCATGAAGCCCATGTCAGGACGGCACGTCGGGCCCTGTCTATAGGAACGAATGCTCATCTATAGGAACGACCCCCGACAGCTAGCGCCAGCCGATCCTGCCGGCGACGCCGCCATGGCCATGCGTGCGGCTTGCATGCTAATCGCACTATCGGCCTTTGATTGAGGGCGGTGGCAGCATGACTCTCTACTGGGGCTCAGTAGGCAGTCAGCTTACTACTAGCTAGTTGAGTTTCCGTCGAGCCCAACGACCAGTCGTACGACACAGGGGCAAATCTGGGGCAAAGGCTCTATCCGTGGCCCAGTGACTCTACCCCGTACTAAGAGCATGTTTGGTAGAGATTTTTGGGCAGTTTCACAAAGCTGTTTTGTAGCTTCTCTACCAAACATGTCCTAAATTTGGCCCATATAAAGATGAAGCCCCAAGTCCACCAGTAGCTTTGTCCACACATGGGTCGATCACTGTCTCATCAGTCCTGCCGCCGGCCGGCCGGCCCCTGCGGCTGCGGATGCCCTGCATAATGCCCGCCCGCCCGCCGGAGTCCTCCACCCTCGTGATTTCACTAGCTCGTGTAGTCATCCTCGCCACCACGACCCTTGTAGCTCAGCTCGCGTGCGGTGAAGTGTGCCGCCTGGCCCGTAGTAGGCCGTGCGGTGTAGTGTGCCGCTGCGGCTCGTGGCTCAGGCTGCCTTGTGCGTTGCGTGGACGCTCTCGCTCTCGTGGCTGCTGCATGCATGGCACCTCAGCGGCTCAGCCTCTACTTTAATTTGTCTCTTCAACTATCTCATTTCCAATTTCCTAACTAGGAGTAGTATGTTCTGGAAAGTTTGTAAACGAAACCAAGCAAAATTTTACTTTTAAAAAAATGGATTGTGGCCGGTGTATGTTTCTCGATGATTTTTTTTATTGTTCTCAATATTTGTGCCATTTTCATCCGAGGTGCAGGTGCTACGCGCCTAGGCGGCAGTGCAATATGCCTATAGCTAGTTTGAAGTTTCTGCTTGTGCCGTCAGCAGGAATATAATGTGTTACGTGTGGGAATGGACAACTTTTGATGTGGTCGTGTGGTGGTAGACATTTACCATTCTCACTTATCATTACCTGCTCCTTTGCTGGACGTTTGTTTGTAACTAAAATGAAAATAACTTGCATTGGTAGTAGTCCTGGTCAATTACTACTTACTATATATATAACATACGAAGTCAGCTCGACCAGGACCAAGTAAATAACAGTGGATGATGCAACTGTGTAAGAGTAATACGAGGTGCACGTACGACAAGTAAACCCCAAAGCAAAGTAAAATCGGCCGGCTGGCTGGGTCATTGCCAAGCTGAGGTGAAACTTCAATATGGAACTTAACGACGGGCTGGCCCATAACAGACTGCATCTCAACTATCTCGAAAATGCCTTGGCCAAAAAAAAAAAAAAAAAAAAAAAAAAAACCGGAGTCGTTTATAGGTCTGTTTGGTACTTTGGTTCACGAGACGCAACTTTGGTTCACGAGCGTTATTGCCTGGCAGGAAAACCCGCCTGAACGCAGAATCAAAGACACACCCTTTACTCAGGTGCGCAGCTTCAATAGCCACATAACACTTCTCCAAAAAGAGGAACTGCTAGTCTCAGGACAACATAAGTACATAGCATGTTAAGATTTTTGGCATTATATTTATAATTTATAATTCTAGTTCGTACAACATTAATATTTTGGTGGTATCTAAAAGAAGCCAAGAGGCCAATCGAGGTTTAAACTTCTCAAATTATGGATACCTAAGCCTACTATCTCCTTGTTTTGGGCAATCAATTGCCGGTTAGCTAAGTGATATCTATGGACTATGGTGATACTCTTTATTATTCCAAAAGGATGTGAGCCATCAGATAATTAATTATCTCAATAGCCAATTTTGGAAAGTTTTGGATGAACACTCATGCATGGATTTCACAGATTACTTATTAACCAAATGCTCAATATGTATGTCATGTACATATAGTAACTATATACTGACAATTTTGGTTCAATTCACTTGAGGTTCAGACAATTTAGACTGAACTTCCAAGTTTCATACAAAAAGTGAAAGAAAAACAGCAGCCTCAATATATAGTACAACACTACAACTCAAGAATCAAGAAGCAATAGCATGGATGATTCCACCACGGCCGCCAGCGCCCTCTGCCAGGGGACCAGGCGGCGCGGGCCCTCGCGTAAGCACACGCGCCGTCGCCGCCGGTGACACGGCATGAACTTTTCCGCCTCTGCCTTGTGCTGGTGGACCTGGCGGAGCTGGTCCTCGCATAACCACGCGCGCTGTCGTCGCCGCCGCCAGCGCGGCATGGATTTTGCCGCCGCTGCCCTGTGCCGGGGGACCAGGCGGCGTGGGCCGTCGCATAGGCGTAACCACGCGCGCTGCTACCGTCGCCATCGCTGGAGCGGCATTGACATGCCCGCCGCTGCCTTGCCTCGGCGCTCCGGGGCGCCCTTTCGGGGAAGGAGCGGCCTGCAGCCGCTGGGACACCGCCGCCACATCCACTCCCCGCGGCGCACTCGGCAAACTGATGGTCGGAGGCGCTCGGCGATCGAGCGCGACGCCCAGGACGGACGACACGTAGCGCAGCAGCTGCCGCGGGAGCGGGCTAGTTGGCGCAGACGGCGACAACGCCATGGCCGTGACCGTGAGACTTGGTGTCGGTGGTGATCGGCTTCGGATCGAGTACAGGGGCGTCTCGGTGATCGATCTGATCTCTTGCTTGCGCTCAACCGGAGGTGCCGAGGTGTTGGCGTCGCTGGATGTCTGCGCTGGGAATGGAAGGACCGCTGCTTTATAGTAACCGATCGATGGTGCGGCGTCTGACTTTGACTTAGTCGTCTGCCAGTATAGTCCTACTTAGTCAAGTCAACCTTAGTTATGTGCGTATTTTACCAGTTCAAAGCTACGTGCTACTGAGCGTAGCCAGTTTTTAGTTTTGACCCGCTCAAGCGTGCTGTCGTACGTACGTACGTACAACATTAAGTTGGACTTAAATATGGGTGGGCAGGTTTTACCACAAGAAATACAGCTGGTTGAGCTACGTTTTGATCTAATACATATAAAAAATTGCATAAACATCCACAACATCAACCAATATTCATTGGATACATCATACATCATGAAGTAAATTTTGGTATGCATTTATTTGATATATATTGTACTCCCACCATTCCAAATTATAAGACATTTTTGCTTTTCTAGATATGTAGTTTTTGCTATGTACTTAGATATACACTATGTGTAGATACATAGCAAAAGCAATATATCTAGAAAAGTAAAAACGTTTTATAACTTGGAACGGAGAGAGTAGATGATAATATTTAATTTTCAAATAAATTGGTTAAAGCTAGACAAGTTTAATCTAGAACAAAACTAAAACGAATTACAATTTGAACTGGAAGGGCGTAATATTCTAGAAAGATTCTTAGATCAGAGGACTGGAAGGGCGTAATATTCTAGAAAGATTCTTAGATCAGAGGGGTAGGTATTTTTCTTCATACCATGAAAGTCTACAATTAGATATTAGAGTAATTTCTTATACATATATGTCATGGCCATATAGTGTAATACCTTATCTCCCAACGATAGAAGCTTATATAGCTATTACTATGTCGGTAAAACTATTTGAAATGCCGATGCCGGTCTTATTTTCCCTTTTATCTCTTCTCCTTTCTTTATTCTTCAAGCCACTTACGGCCACACCTATGGATGGAAAACTCCTTCATAATGAACTAAATAATTATTCAAATTATTTCCTCATGGATTCCCCACCATAGGAAAAAGTCAGAGATGGATTTGAGTTTCCAAATTAGCCCTTATTAATTGTTGGATGAGTTTTTATATTTTTTTTATCTAGTAAGTAGGACAACACAATGTACTTTGCATTTCATCCACATTGATTTTCTAAGAGCATCTCCAGCAGACTACCTAAACAGACTACCTATCCCCAATCTAGGTAGTAGGGGCAAAAAAAAAAAAAACTAACTCCAACAGACTACCTACTAGACCCAACAAATTGGATGGCTACCCAAATTCTCCTCTCCACTACCCATTCATGTTGGGCCAAGGGTGGCTACCCAAAAATCCGTTCGACACTTTTTCTCCCTAGAGGCGCGACTCTTCCTCCCGTCCGCCCACACGCTGTGGTTGTCGGCCGTTGTCGGCCTCCATCCCCACCGCCGCTGGTGCCCCAAGCTTGTCACTGGACCTCCCATCGGCTGGATCGGGAGGTCCTCCGCCGGTGCCGGCCTGTACGCCCCATCGCCAGCCTGGAGGCGGCGGATCCGCCCCGCCCCAACCGCAACGGCTCCGGTGGGCGGATCTCGCTGCTCCGTCCATCGCCAGCCTGAAGCTCCCTGTCTGCACTACCGCATGCCCTGCCTAGCCGCTGCCGTCTTCCTCCTCCGACCCACGCCCAAGCGTCCCCCACCATCGGTCATCCTCCACACGACAAGAAGCCCGCGTCGGTTTGGGAGCTCCACGCCTGTCATCCTCCTCCGACCATGACCAGCCACCGGCCTCCTCCGCAGTCTGCTCGAGGCTGCCTGAGCTGCCCGTGTCCGTGCCGTCCAACGTCGCCCCCCTGAACGCAGGTAGTATGTTTTAGGTAATACTGCTGGAGATGACAACAAAAAATAGGTACTCTCAGAGTGGGTAGCTACCCAAATAGAGTTTTAGGTAGGTAGTGCTGCTGGAGATGTTCTAATGGGGCAGATTCAAACGAGAAATTTCCATAGTATAATGGGCAGTTGTACACTCATGCGTGGCTTTTACAAATTACTAAACCAAATGCTCTAATTGGCCGTCTGATCTCCAAGTTTCGTACAAAAAATGAAAGAAAAAACAGCCGCCTCAATCTTTCCTATAGTATACAACTCAAGAATCAAGAAGCAACACAGCATGGATGTTTCCACCACGCCCGCCGGCGCCTTCTGCCGGGGGACCAGGCGGCGCGGGCCCTCGCATAAGCACACGCGCCGCCGTCGCCGCAGGCGACACGGCATGAACCTTTCCGCCGCTGCCTTGTGCTGGTGGACCAGGCGGAGCTGGTCCTCGCATAACCACGCGCGCTGTCGCCGCCGCCGGCGCGGTATGGATTTTGCCGCCGCTGCCCTGTGCCGGGGGACCAGGCGGCGTGGGCCGTCGCAAAGGCATAACTGCGCGCGCTGCTATCGTCGCCATCGCCGGAGCGGCGAGATGGACTTGCCCGCCGCTGCCTTGCCTCGGCGCGCCGGGCCTCCCTTTCGGGGAAGGAGCGGCTCTGCTCGCGCTCCGGAGCAGCTGGGATGCCGCCGCATCCACTCCCCGCGGCGCACTCGGCAGACTGATGATTGGAGCTGGGCGGTGGAGGGCGGCGACCAGCTGGGACGACACGTAGCGCAGCAGCTGCCGCGGGAGCGGGCTAGTTGGCGCAGACGATGGCGACAACGCCATGGCTGTGCGGTCGGCGGTGATCGACTTCGGATCGAGTACAGGGGGTTCTCGGTGACGTTCGATCTGAGCTCTCCCTAGTGTTGGCGTCGCTGGATGTCTGTCTGCACTGCGAATGGAAGGACCGCTGCTTTATACGTAGTAGTATAGTACTACCAGAGGAGCAGGCAGCGCAAGGGACGGCGTCTGACTTTGACTAGTCTGGCTGTTCAGACACTGTCAGTACAACAAGTGTGTAGTGGTACGAAGTCAAGTGAAAGCCTGTTCGTAAACGATCGTAAATTTCTAACTGAGAATAGTGTTTTTTTCTCACGTCAAACTAGCCAGCAATAAATAATCCACGATACGATACGGCCTTCCGAACAGGCTACCTAGTATAGTACTACTGAGCGTAGCCAGTTTTGAGCTTTGACCCGCTCAAGCGTGCTGCCGTATACATACAACCCCCACTGTAGCAGTCGTCATGAATCTGGATCTGGTCAGCACCCATGCATGTGCCAATGGGGTGGCTGAAAACTGAACATCATGCGTACATATTATACGTGGCAGCAAATAGGCTCCGTGCGTAAAATTAAACATTCTTAGAAAACGACAACAAAATACTACATATCTGTTCATGTTTCACTATTTTTACAAAATTTAAAAGCTATAACTTATTTATAATGACCATGACATCCTAGGCAATTATATGATAATGTCCTACTTAGCTGTATCGAAATAAAATACAACATTGATAAAAATTTATCTGGTTTCAAAATAAAGAAATGTTTACTTGTAAATATTTTAACTTTAATTTTTATATTATTTAATTATTTGATTATTTGATTAATTGGACCATTGATTCATCCATTCACACTCATGGAGATGGAGTCAGGAGATCAAGATTTTAAATCTCCGTCTATAACTTCCGCTATCTTCAGTTATAGATGTTTAAGAAAGATTTAGCCAAGCTTTTTCAGGTACAAGCTAGCTCCTAGCTGTCGCTATAGCCTGTTGGCCCAACAGGACCACCGGCTCAGGTGAGTGAACCACTCACCAGTCTTGTCGAGCACCCGCTAGTGTTGCCGAGCACCCACTAGCCATACTGACCACGAACAAGCGTTGTCCGTCCCCACACACTATGGCTAGAGCTTGAAGAAGAAGGGAGAACAGAGCATACACACACAGTATAAGACACCAGCGTTGGCCGAAGCCATGTCTGAGAGATGGCAAATCTGAACTCTCTTTACTGAGTTGTTGTGGTAGTCTATTTATACAACTCTATCCATCTAGTCCTAGTACAACGCACATGCTGTAAGAGTAATTAGATAACATACAGGGCTGACTCTGCTCCGGCCTTTGCATGTGGTTACAGTGCAGCAGGTGAGCAGCTCGGCGCCTGCACCTGCAGTTTTGGCGCCGCCTTCCCTTTGCTGTGTTCACACAAGGTAGCAGTAGATTATCTAACAATCTTCCCCTAATTCTACTGCTAACCCTTGTACTCCCCATGCCGATCATCTCCTTTAGCTCCGAGAGTCGAAGACGTCCGAACGGCTTGGTGAGGACGGTGGAAGGAGGCGACGACGTCCTACTGCTAACCCTTGGAGAGGGAAGAGGTGACGACGGTAGAAGGACCTGGGAAGGCCCTGAAGACCGTCAACCTCGACGAACCACGCGCCCAAGTTCACCTCGGACGTGTGGGCGCCGACCAGGAGCAGCGGTGGTATCTGAAATCTGGTGCCAGTAACCACATGATGGGCTCCAAGAAATCCTTCTCCGAGCTCGACGATGATGTTATCGGTATGGTGAAGTTTGGTGACGGCTCAAGGGTGGTTATCCAAGGGCGCGACACCATTATCTTCAGGTGCCAGAACAGGGAGCACCACGCGCTAACGGATGTATACTACATCCCGCAGCTGCGTTCCAGCATCATCAGCATTGGTCAGCTGGATGAGCGCGGTCGCGAGGTACTGATCAAGGATGAAGTCCTTACGATCAGGGACCGGGAGCAGTGACTTCTTGCTAAGGTGAAGAGGTCCCTGAACCGGTTGTACCTCCTCGACCTAAAGGTAGAGCAATCGGTGAGCCTAGCGGCAAGGCACTCTGAGGAACCGTGGATGTGGCACGCCCGGTTCGGACCTCTCAGTTTTGACGCGCTTGGTCGACTGGAGAAGATGGTCCGAGGGCTACCCCACATCAAGCACAGAGGCAAGCTGTGTGACAGCTGTCTAGCCGGGAAGCAGAGGAGGCTACCTTTCCCAAAGGCGGCCAAGTATCGCGCGAAGGATGCTCTCGAGCTCGTCCACGGCAACCTCTATGGGCTGATCACGCCTGCTACAAATAGTGGTCGACGGTACTTCCTCCTGCTCGTGGATGATTGCAGTCGCTACATGTGGCTGCAACTCTTGACGAGCAAGGATGAAGCGGTGGCGGCGATCAAGAAGTTTAAGACGCGCGCGGAGACCGAGAGCGGCAAGAAGCTCCGCGTGCTGAGGACTGATCGCGGTGGTGAATTCACGTCGGTGTAGTTCGTTGTGCACTACGCGGATCAGGGTGTGGAGCAACACCACACCGCGCCGTACTCGACACAACAGAATGGCGTGATGGAGAGGCGAAACCAGACGGTGGTCGGCATGGCCCGATCCATGATGAAGGCCAAAGGCATGCCGGCAAGGTTCTGGGGTGAGGCAGTAACCACGGCGGTGTTCATCCTCAACCGATCTTCGACCAAAGCCCTGATGGGCAAGACGCCATTCGACGCTTGGTATGGGCGCAAGCTGAGCGTGTCCTTCCTCCGGACATTCGGCTGCATCGGCCACGTCAGGAAGACAAAGCCGAACCTCACCAAGCAGGAGGATAGGAGCACACCTATGGTGTTCCTGGGCTACGCGGAGGGTACCAAGGAGTACCAGCTCTACGACCCACGCGGAGACAAGGTGCTTGTCTCACGCAATGTTGTGTTCGACGAGGAGGCGGCTTTGGACTAGAGCAGTCCAAGCACGAGGAAGCTAGCAGCTTCACCAACACCTTCGTCGTCGAGCACCTAGTCATCCATGGTGGTGGAGACGCTGGGGAAGAGGTGCCGATCACTCCGGTGGTAGAGCCGAGCACTACTGGGGTAGTGCCGAGCACTTTGGGAGGGACGCCGAGCATGCTAGGAGTGGTGCCGGGAGGTTCTGCAGTGGTGGAGACCACTCTAGGACGGGTGCCGAGCACTCCCGTGGTGGAGCCAAGACGTCTTGCAGTGGTGCCAACCACTCCAAGACTGAGGCTAGGCACTCCTATAGTGTGGCCGAACACTGTAGGAGTTGTGACGAGAAGTCTAGAAGTACTGCCGAGCACTGCAACCAGGGTGCCGAGCACTCAAGGTGCTATGCCAGGCACTCTGGTAGAATAGGGAACTCCATCTATGCCGATCAAGTTCGCCTCACCTCCAAGTGACATCACTGAGTTCGTGGATGCCTTCCACGAAGGTGAGGAGGTGCGGTTCCGCAGGCTGGACGACATCATCGGCGGCACAGGTCCCTCAGGTCTGGCGGGCAGGCTGCTCAATGACGTAGAGCTACTGCTTGTTAGTGCAGAGGAACCACCCACGTTCGCGCTAGCCAAACGCGATGGAAATTGGCGACGGGCGATGCTGGAGGAGATGAAGGCGATCGAGGAAAACAAGACTTGGCAGCTCATCGATCCACCTCCAGGATGCTGTCCGATTAGCCTGAAGTGGGTGTACAAGGTCAAGCGAGACGACCTCGGCGCCATTGTCAAGCACAAGGCGCGCCTCGTTGCCCGAGGCTTTGTTCAGCGAGAGGGCATAGACTTCGAGGAGGTCTTTGCGCTAGTAGCGCGCATGGAGTCGATCCGTTTGCTACTAGCCTTGGCATCAGCAAAGTACTGGCGTGTCCATCACTTGGACGTTAAATCGGCCTTCCTCAATGGTGAGCTGGCGGAAACGGTCTTCGTCAGGCAACCTCTAGGTTTCGCCGTAAGGGAGAGGAGCACAGGGTGCTCCAATTACGCAAGGCGCTCTACGGGCCACGGTAGGCCCCTCGAGCATGGAACGCCAATCTTGAAGCCACGCTGGGCGAGCTTGGGTTTCAACAGTGCGCAACTGAGCACGTGCTCTACACACGGCGATGGGGGAAGGAGGAGCTCATCGTCGGCGTGTATGTGGATGACTTAATCATCACCGGCGCGCGCACGGAGGATATCAACAGCTTCAAGCGTGAGATGGCGGCTCATTTTCGAATGAGCGATCTTGGCACACTCTCCTACTGCCTCGGCATCGAGGTGAGACAAGGGAAGGAGGAACTCACGCTCAGTCAGAACGCGTATGCTTCCAAACTATTGGAGAGGAGCAACATGGCTGAGTGGAAGCCATGTATGGCTCCGATGGAGGAGCGGCTGAAGCTGACGAAGGCCAGCACCGTGGCGAAGGTGGATGCGACACTCTACCGGAGCATCGTCGGCGGTCTATGCTACCTAGTCCACACGAGGCCGAACATTGCGTTCGCCGTGGGCTACGTCAGTCGCTTCATGGAGGATCCTAGAAAGGATCATTGGGCTGCAGTGAAGCAGCTACTGCGCTACGTCAAAGGGACGGTAGATCATGGGATCGTCTTCCCAAAGACCGGTGAGAGTAGGCTATAGCTCACTGTGTTCAGCAATACAGACATGGCAGGGGACATCGACGGGCGTCGGAGCACCTCTGGCGTGCTCGTCTTTCTCGGGTCGGCCCCAATTTCATGGCTGTCGCTGAAGCAGAAGGTGGTGGCGCTATCTACGTGCGAGGCAGAGTACGTAGCAGTGGCCATAGCGGTGTGCCAAGTTGTGTGGCTACGCCGGCTGCTGGGCGAGCTGATCGGCGTGGAAGCTCACCCACCAGCACTGATGGTGGACAACTAGCCCGCCATCGCCCTCGCGAAGAATCCGGTTCTGCACGACCGGAGTAAACACATCGATGTGAAGTTTCACTTCCTCAGGGACTGTGTCGATGGACGGCAGATCGTCATCGAGTTTGTCGAAAC